CAAGTTTCAAACGACCGATACGTGAAAGTTATGTAAATCAGCAACCAACACGTTCAACGAACGATCACCAGAAATGGAATTTCGAACGGAATTTTGGCACCGATGTAAAACGGTAAAATAAACGTCGAAAGTAAACCACATCTCGTAATCACAGATTATTTTTTTGTTAGGTGACCAATCGAAATATTTTTTTTAATCTAACTTTTACAAAAAGAAAAAAATAAGCAAAATAGAAGTTTTTATTAAACAAAAAACCAAATGCAACCTTAAAAAAATGCATTATGTAATTGTATAATTTCAGCTTTTTTTTATAAAAAAAAATGTACGATAAATTCACTAACACCTGAATAGTCTAAGGTTAAAAAGAACAAATTCAATTGTTTCGTAAGCAACCATGGTTATCGTGGTTCCAACTCATTGTTAACGATTTCGCGATAACAGCACAGTGTAATTACTATTACATCGTGCGCTCAAAATGGAAAAATACGTTTTCTTATTATCGTCTGGATATGCTAGGTATTTCGATAAAACTAAACGAAGGTAAATACAGTCATTGACATATCACGTGTTAAATGCGTGCCGACGCAAAAATAATTCTCAGTCTTTTATTTCCGGGATACGGAGCATATCGAAATACACCGCAATTGCGACAACGCGGTGGCTGTTTGACACAAAGAGAACGCGACACGAAATCAATTGGTTTTTACGTTAAAGTAAACAAAATCGGAACCACGAGAAGAATTTCGGTTTCGATTTTCACGGCACAGGAAAACCGTTAAACGAAATCACTCGGAGGAAGCCGAATCTATTGTCGGGTTTCAATGAATTAGATTTCGACCTTGTACATCTTCGATTGATTACGCAAGCCACTGTCGAGATTCCCGCGTAAAAGAAAGAGAAAAAACTCGAAGATTATAATTTTAAGTGCACGATCAGTCTCGCCTTGCAAGTTCAATGCGAGATGGAAATTTAAAATTCAACAAGTACACGTTCCAATATTTAAAATAACCATACACTGCAATGATGTTTCAATATTAATTCTTTGGGAACAAATGTCGAACAACGAGAGATCAGTGCACAGTTTCCTTTCTTCTGTTATTTAATCATTATATATATAGTTTTGCTTCATCCCCTGAGGGTTATGTACAGTTTAACACTTTGACTGCCATGACACCCGAATTTGGATGATATAATCTTTTGGATAAATTTAAGAGTTGTGTATCCCGGCGACATACCAAGCGAATGAAATTTTCTTGCATTTACGAGGTACCAGAGGATTAGAATAACATTCGTTGTGAAAAACCTTGACTTTCCAGTGTCTGTTCCATTAAGAAGATAGTTTCAACATGCATGGGTTTTCGATGACTGCTAATTCGCTAGTCAACGTGCTCAAGAATCTTCATCCGCAGAGGGTTAAATGAAGTGAACGGAAAGTATTCGAACTGGAATGTAATAGGATGCCGTCTAAACAAACTGAGGAGCAAGGTGTCTCGTTGCAACCGCCTTTATTTCACCTTAACCGTTATGCTACTTGGGAGACACAAGCGGGCGAACGCGAGAGAGGAAAAAGAAGACAGCCAAAGCTTGAAGAATTGAACGTATACTTCACTTGGTGAAGTGCGAGAAACAAGTCGATGTCGATGTCCACGGTGTCCATTGTCGTAGAACGAGGATTACAATCGCGTCCCGATGCAACGTTCAATTCAAATCGTATAAAACAAGAACACCGACTGAAAAGAACGAACGTGGTAGCTTCCTGCTGGTTAGGCCGGGCCACAAGCCAACAGACTATTTGGTGTCTCGCCCAATGTCGACTACGGATCTGTTTTTATTCGGTTAATATTCCCTGCCGACGTAAAGACGCACCGGTCACGAGACACGCTGATTATTTTCATCCTGGTTGAGCGAGAGGAACAGAACATTCTTGGGAATGTTCATTCTCGCCCGGATCAAACATTGTAACGTAAATACTCGACACACGTGGTAATGGACGCGGTTACTTCGCGTGGACTTGTTAAATGGCGGAAAGTGAGAGATGTTAGTAACATTAACGAAAATCGATCTACTGATGGAAAGTAATAGATAACAAAAATTTACTGACTGACGTGCGAGGAAAAATTTGACAGTTCAACAAAATTTACTAACTGAAATCTAGAGAGAAATTTCTACAGTACCCACCCTTCGCATATCGTTACTTTTACTTTTAGTTGCTATCTTTATAGATAGCATTTTTATTGTTTCAATGGAAATGGCACTTTAAATAAGAACTTAAAGTTCGGGTCATGAAGATTTAAAATAATTGTCTTGACATTAAAATTAATTGTTTGAAAACGTAGTTTTTCAAGTTCAAATATAAATATTCACGTTCATGGGATCACCAGATACACCAGAAACGCAGATGAAAAAGATATATTGATAAGATTAATGAATGAATGATATGAGATAGCGTCCAAATATTTGAAATTCCCGCTAATTCTTGTTTGCTTTACTTGGTAACCTGATTTTCAAAAAGTAGGTTAA